CGCCCCTTTCCCCGCCTCCTCCCCCCTGTCTAGGTGGCCTGAAGACCCCAGGGCCCTCCAAGTTGCAGGTCCCGCAAGGCGTCTTCGGCGCCCTCTTGAGATTCCTCCCTTGTGGCGACGGCTCAGAATCGGCTTCCTTTGTGAGGCTGAATCCCAGTCCTCCGTCCGGACAGAGGCATTTGTTTATGGTTCCGCCTTTTGGCTTTGCGTATAAGGTTGTGCACGTGCGCGTGTAAGCATCTTTGTAAGGCCCTGGGTCCACCCCAAGAGCACAAAACACGTATTGGGCGGGTGCTGCACCCCTGTAACCCTAGCACCCTGGACAGCTGAGGCAGGAGGATGTTTGAGTTCAAGCCCAGCCTGGACAACTGAGAAATTTAGCAAAATCTTGTCTCAGTGCAAAGGCCCTGGATTCAAACGCCAGAACCACCCCCAAAATTTAAAAGCTGTGTTTATAGTATAGTCTATGAGATGTGCATTATATCTTTTTGGAAAGCCAATGTACATGGTTGTAATTTAAAAGTATTTGCAACTGCAGGTGTAGCGGTTCATTCCTATAATCCTAGCTATTCAGAAGGCTGAGACAGGAGGATCTCAAGTCCTAGGCCAGTCTGGGCAACTTACTGAGACCCGGTGTTAAAATAAAAAGGGCTGAGGATGGAGCTCAATGGCAGAGCACACCTGGGTTTGACCCTCAGTACTGGGGGAGATGATTTAAAGAATACAAGAAGGGGTAGGTCTTGGGGTACGTGCCTGTCATGCCAGCACCCTGGGAGGCTGAGGCAGGAGGATTTCAGGTTCAAACCTAGCCTGGACAATTTAGCAAGACCCTGTCTCTCTACATGAATGAATGAATAAATAAATAAAGGGCTGGGGCTGTAGCACTGTGTGAAGGCCCTAGGTTGCATCTTCAGTTCTGCAAAACAAACAAAAACAAAAAGGAAAAGAAATAACTGTGTTCAGCCTGGCTGATTCCTGGCTTATCGGTAATTTCACAGAGCAGGATGAGGACAGGCCTTTCTGAAGAGGGACCTTGGAGCAGAGACGCAAGTGAGGTGAGGGAGCAGGTGAGACAGATGTCGAAGGAAGAGCGTTTCCAAAAGCAGGAGCAGGTTGTGCAAAGGTCCTGAGGCTCACACTTGCTAAGTGTCTCGGCAGAATAATGAAGAAATTGGGGGTGGCTGGAGCCAAGAGCCACAGGGGAGCATTATGGGAGGCTGGGACAGGAGGTAGGTGACAGACCGTTTGTGTAGGTCACAGCAGGAGCTCAGCTTTTGTGTTAAGTAGCTTGGGAGCCATGGAAAGTCGGTGTTTTTGCCGTTTTTTGAGACAGGGTCTGCTATGTAGCCCAACCTGCCCTCAAATTCACAGCAATCCTCCTGCCTCAGCTTCTCAAGTGCTGGGATTACAGGCGTGTGTCACCAGACTGGCCATAGGATTTTTTTTTTTTGAGACGGGGTGTTGTTATATGGTTCAGGCTGGCCTTGAACTCAACACGTATTCCAGGATGGCCTTGAACTCATGGTGATCTTCCTGCCTCAGCCTCCCAGGTGCTAGGATCACAGGCCTGTGCCACCATACCTGTTTTAGAATGGTGTTTTGAAGGCAGGTGCTGGGATGTGGTGACTGCTGGGATAGTAGCCATGGCGACCATCATTTCTATTCTTACTTGTATGATGCTATTTCTGTTTTTCTTCCTCTTTTTTTGGCTATATATATATTTTTTTTATTTGGTTTTTTTGAGACAGTGTCCACTGTGTAGTTCAGATGCCCTGGAACTCATTGTGTAGCCCAGGCTGGTCTCGAACTCACAGTGATCCTCCTGCCTCAGCCTCCCGAGTGCTGGGATGACAGGTGTGCGCCACCACGCTCAGCTTTTTTTTTTGAAAAGCTGCTCTTGACATTTGCTCTCTCTGCAACTAAAGTGCTGCGGGGTGAATAACTACACAGATTTTCCCGGCTCTTCCTTCTCTCTGGCGACTGGCCACTCCTACCCCAGGGGCTGCTGTAAATCCCTGGGCACTGCGGCCTGTGACGGGCACAACGTGTCCCCCAGCGTCATCCACCAGGAGGTAACTGGAGATTTTGCCGTGCATGACCTCGACTGACCCTAAGTGTTGGTGACTTTTCTAAAAAATTGCTCATTCGGGGACCCCAACAAAGGGGCCCAGGGAAGAGAGAAATCAATGCTAGTTCAGCTCCTCGGATAACGCGTCCTCTGGGGAAACTGAGTCTGCTTTCCACCACTGTGACAAATATCTGAGGTCACCCACTTACAAAGAGGGAAGGTTTGGCTCCTCATGTCAGAGGTTTCGGCCCACAGTTGCTTGCCACTCAGGAGGCTGAGGCAGGAGGATGGCTTCAAGTTTGAGGCCAGCCTGGGCTACATCATGAGACCCTGGCTCCAAACAAAAAATTAAAATAAAAAAATCCAAGCTGTGCTCATGTCTGTACCATGGGCCAGCACCCTTCTGGGATGACAGGCGTGTGTCACCACGCCAGGCTCATTGGTTCCCCTTCCAGCTGGGCCAGCAGAGGTCCAGAGAGGCGGGGTGGCTTCTCCAGGGTGACACAGATCGCTTAAACAGGGGAGCTCAGTGTGGTGGAAAGAGGTGGTGACCGGTGTGCTCTGGTGGGGGTTGCTGGGGAGCGGCCCCCGGGGTGGGCGAGACCAGAGTCCTCTGCTGAGCAGCCCCTGCCTGCCTTGCTGTGTGCACCCCCAGGGCTGCTTCCGCAGGCTGCTGAAAATCACAAAGACGCAGAGCTACACCCTGAGCTGGGTCTCCCTGGGGACCGCGGCGATGCAGGTGAGTCACCCCTCTGGGACGCTGGCCACTCTTTCATTCCAAACCTGAGGGGCTGAGCGTGGTGGTGCACGCCTGAGATGCCAGCCTTCGGGGAGGCTGAGGCAGGAGGATCCCAAGTGACTGGGAGAGGGCCTGTTCCTAAATAAACAGATAATAAATAAATACAGGGCTGGGGTGTAGCTCAGGGTGAAGGCCCTGGTTTCCACCTCCAGTATGGAGAAGCGGGGAAAAGAAGCAATAGCAAGGGTCTAGCCCAGGAATCCCAGGGAGGAAGAAACTAGCACAGTGGATGGGACTCTCTTTCAGTTCATCTGGTCCTGGTTTTTTATGCTATTCAGACACGCAAAAATAGAATGAAATAAGCTGTGCCACAAACAGAACGGATGAGGGAATAAATATGGGCAGGATATTATGCAACTTTAATGCTACTGTCAGTGTTGGTTACATTTTGAGACAGGGTCCCACTATGTAGCCCAGGCTGGTCTTGAAATCGCAGTGATCCTCCTGCCTCAGCCTCCTGATGCTGGTATTGTAGGAATGTGCCACCCTGCCCAGCTCACCCAAATTTAAAAAGTAAGAACCCAGGGGCAGGGGATTTAGCTCCGTGGTTCTGCTGCCTGCTTCGCAAGTACAAGGACCCGAGTTCGATCCCCGGTACCAAAATAAATAAATAAGTAAATAAAATAAGAACACAAGGGCTGGGGATTTAGCTCAGTGGCGTGGCACCTGCCTCGCAAGCACAAGGTCCCGAGTCTGATCCCCGGTACTACAAAATACATACATAAATAAATAAAATGAAAACACAAGCCTCCTTTTTGAAAAAGAAACATTTCTCATTTCAACCACCCAGGTAACCAAGCAACGAATTCAGCGGTCACACACAAAGAATACAGATTTGTGAGAATTAATTCCCAGTTCTCATTAAATGAACAGACACCGGCAGAGACAACATCACAAAATAGCAATGTAAAAGACCTGAAGGGAAAGGAAAGTCGGATTGCACAGTGTAGTATGTAAAATGTCTGATTTCCAGCTGGATGTGGTGGCACATACCTGAAGTCCCAGAGGCTGGGGAGGCTGAGGCAGGAAGACCTTGTGAGCTCCGGGTTAAAGGTCAGCCTGGACTCCATAATGGTTCAAGGCCAACCTGAATTTCATAGTGAGACCCCGTCTGAAAGACAAAACAAAAAAGAAATGGAATGAATTTGTAGGACCATAATAGCGCAAAGAATAAAGCTACGTGGGAACACAGCGTTTGTATGTGATTAAAATTTATTTGGAGCTGTGTGTGGCTCACACCTGTAATCCTGAATTCTGGGAGGCTGAGGCAGGAGGACTGCAAGTTTGAGCCTAGCCTGGGGGCAGCTTAGTGATTTAGCAAGCCACTGTTTCCAAAACAAAACAAAACAAAAAAAGGACAAAACAACAAACAAAAAGACTAGACTGCTAAAATTTAAAATATGAATTGTAATCCCTAAAGCTACCACTGAAAAGTAATTCTTGTTTGGTTTTGCTTTTGGAGTCAGAGATTCACTATGTAGTGCAGGATGGCCTAGAACCCACTATGTACCTCAGGCTGGCCTTGAACCGGGAGCGACCCTCCCATCTCCTGCCTCAGCCTCCTGAGTGTGGGGATCACAGATCTACACCACCACCATGCCTGGCTGAGTAATTCTTAAAATATAGTAAAATAAGAGAAATAAAATGGTACACAAGAAAATATAAAAGAAGTCCAAGAGCAAAGAACAGGATCAGCAACGTAAACACAAATAGCAAAAGGGCAGGTCCATGTCCAACTCCATCAGCAATTACATCAAATGTAAAGGGATTAAAAAAAATGGGTCAAAAGACACAGATCCAAAGGGTGGATTGAAACACATGACTGAACAATGTTCAATCTACGAGAAGCACACATTGATGCAAAAACACAAATGAACTGAAACTTAAAAGGATGGGGAAAGGTACACCATGTGAGTGGTGGCCAACAGAGAGCAGCAGTCCCTAAATCAATAGCAAACCAAAAATTGTAGCTAGAGACAGAAGAACATTTTATAGTGATAAAGGCATCGATCCACCATGAAGTCAAAAAACAATTACAAAAACATAGTGCATACCTATAAATGTAAAATGTCAACAAGCCAAGTGTGGTGCCACACACCCATAATACCAGCACTCGGGAGGCCGAGGCAGGAAGATCGCCATGAGTTTGAGTCCAGTTTGGGCTTTAAAATGAGTTCGAGGACAGCCCGGAGTACACAGCAAGACCTTGCCTCAAGCAAACAAACGACAACAAAAATGCCACACACAAAAATTTAAAATGTAAGCATATATGCATCTAAAAATAAAACTCCAAAATAAGGGAGGGGAAAAAAACCGCAAAATAAATTAGGAAAAACTGATGGAATTACAGGGACAATAGACAATTTAGTGTTGTCAGAGAGTTTAATATCCCACTCTCAACAATAGCACAAATAAGCAGATGACCAACAAGAAAGAAGCGCCATCTGCCCACAACTGTGGGTATAGAGCGCTCAGGAGGGGGCACGAGAGGAAGTTCGAAAAATTATCCAACTGCTCTCTTCCGGTCTGCCCATATCTCCTGTGGGTCAAACGTTACAAAAAGTCCGAAGGCCTCGGCTTCCTATTGGCCAAATGTAAGAGACAGTCAGAAGGCATGGGCTTCCTATTGGCCGAACATAACAGGAAATGGGAGGGCGTAGGATGCTGGGAAATGTCCTCAGGGCTCGTGGGAAGGCAGGAGGGTTTGGTTCCACTTCCGTGGTCTCTGACGACAGCTGTTTTGTTTCTCTCCCATTTCAGTTGCCAGGTGCTCTTGCCACCTTGCTGCTGTTCATCAAGCTGGGCTGACAACACAGGCTTGGGAAGGATGAAACACTGGAGCCCACCTGGCTGCTGCTGATTGGATCTCACTTTTATTCCTCTGTAGCACTTAACCGTTTTTGGAAGGGGGAATAACAACAACAACAACAGTAATCAATCAAGAACCACCTATCCGCCCTGACTCTTTTCTCCTCGAGTTTATTTCTGACACCAGCTGGCAGTGGTTATAGCTCAAATACCTAAAGCGGTGGCGTTTAAGCCCATTATTTGTTACTGTAATGAAAAGCCTGAGTCTGGGTACATGTGAAGGAAAGGTTGATTGAGCTCCATCTGGGAGCATGAAATTACGACAGAATAACCCACTGTGGTGAGGCCTCCCGACACCTCATGACCCATGGCACCAAAATGGCAGGAGGGGCCGGGGATTTAGCTCAGAGGTGCTGCCACCTGCCTTGAAAGGGGGGGCAGTAGCAAGCAGCAGATTATTAGCTGGCCACGCCCCTACCCGAACTGTAGTTCAGACGGCCGCCCTGGAACTCACCGTGTAGCCCGGGCTGGTCTCGAACTCACAGCGATCCTCCCGCCTCAGCCTCCTGAGTGCTGGGACTACAGGCGTGCGCCCCCAGGCCTGCCAAAAAGTCCCGAAAGAAGGCTTTCCAGAACTGCTTCAGAAAACAGCAACAGTGATGGGACCAGTGTGTTCATAGCAGGGGGAGGACTCTGAGGAAGATCAATGGCAAAGTGTCTTTTACTGGGATAGTTAACATTTTAAAAATTTAAATATTCATGGTATTTTGTGATCTAACCCCAGGCGAAGGACGCTGCGATGTTCTGATAGGAGAAATGTGCAATGATTAAATCGAGCTAATTAACATACGTATCACCTCCCTTCCAAACTATCTTTTGTGAAGAGGCATTTGAGGAACTGTATTGAAACAAACCCTGCGAGGTGTTGTTTCCCCTTCATACGTCAGTGTGCGTCTCTCAAACTAGTGATTTGTGTTCACAACTATAATTTCATTATCACACCTACGATAACAGCCTCTCCTTGCCGTCACTTAATTTCTCTACTATCAACAAAATTTACTGATTGGCTCAAATCTTTTTTTTTTTGAGACAAGGTATCTCTAATATAGTCCAGATAGTCCAGGCTGGCCTCGAACTCCTGGTGACCCTCCTGCCTCAGCCTCCCGAGTGCCTCAACTACAGTTGTGTGCCGCCATGCCTGGCTCTGCCTTCCCCTCTGACTGGGGACTCGTCCCCGCAAAGTCCCCACGGTAGTAGCTGCTTATCCTACCGTGTTGGTTGGAGAATCTAGACTCCCCCAGTCTCCTGAGTGCCCCTGCTGCAACCCGGAAGTGTATGTTCTTGTCCCCGTCTCTGCTTCCTGACTGCTGTGGGCAGAGCCCCCGTCCTCCCCCAGGCCCCTCTGCCATCCCGTCCCTGCTTTGGACACAGCCCACCATGGAGGAGCCAGAATAAGCCTCTCATCTTCAAACTGGCCATTGGGTGTTTTGTCCGAGCGGCCGGAAGTGGCTGAGACACAGGAGATGGAGCTCAGCGAGGCAGGTGCTCAACCACGGAGCTCTGCACCCAGCCACCTGCTGTCCAGTTGGGGCAGGGGAGTCACCTGGGGGCCTTTAAGGCCTGGCCGTCGTCATGCGTGAGAGGGAATGAACCAAGCACTTCATCTGATGACCACAGGAGGCTGAATCAGATTCTTCATTAAAAATCGCAGTATGAGCCGGGCGTGGTGGCGCACACCTGTCACCCCAGCACTCGGGAGGCTGAGGCAGGAGGATCACCTAGGGCTCAAGGCTAGGCTGGGCTGCATAGGGAGACCCTGTCTCCAAAATAAATAAATAAATAAAGCGCTGCTGTGGAGGCCTCCCCAGGAGCCCCAACTTCAAATACCATTAACGAAGGACTGGGGAATTAAGTTCTTGGGCATGCACTCCATCCTGCTCACCCACATTTCTGTCCACTCTGGTTACAAAGTGGGGTTGTCAAGGTCTTCCCTCTCTGCCCAGAGCGGTAACATGCTGGCATCACCCAGGGTTTCTGCAGTGAGAAAGCACTTTCCTCACCACACCTAGTTTGTGATAAAGGATGTGACTCAGGGACAGCTAAGAGGGAGGAAGGCCGGAGGCGAAGTAAGGGCCGGTGAGGCTGTGTCCCTTCCGGGCCACCGTCCTCCCAGCACCTAGGTGAGTTCACTAAGCCACCAGCACTCTGGAGTCCAATCGTGGAGGGTTTTTTGGTTTTCTTTGTTGTTTGTTTGCTTGGCCGTCTTGGGGTTTGCACCCAGAGCCCTGACACTGAGTTCCATCCTCAGCCCTTTGCTTTATTTTTAAGTAAAACATTTATCGGTACATTTGAAATAGACATAATAATCATAGTCATCAAGGGAATTTTTTTCCATTCCCCCTCCCTTCAACCTCTCTTCCTCTCCTTATATTCAAAAGCTTTGTTTCCATTTTCCCCGTTCTTTATCTCCTTGTCCCTTCTTTCCTTCCCCCCTCCCCCCTCCCTTGTTCCCCCTCCTATTTAAACATTTTCTTCCCGTTTCCCAGTATCCATTATACACCTCAGTCCTATTTCCACTTTCAGTTTCTCACACCAGAGAAACAGTGCAGTATTTACACGTGTGCGTTAGATTTACTTCACTTAAGAGTATGGTCTCCTACCTGGGTGTGGTGGCGCACGCCTGTCATCCCAGCACTCGGGAGGCTGAGGCAGGAGGATCGCTGGGAGTTCGAGACCAGCCTGGGCTACACAGTGAGTTCCAGGTCAGTCTCAACTACATAGTGAGACCCTGTCTCAAAAAACACAAACAACCAAACAGAAAGAGTGTGGTCTCCAGGTCCATGCATTTAGCTATAAGTGTCTGAAGCTCATCCTTCTTTATGGCAGAGTAGTACTCCAGTGTGTTAAAAAAAACTCACAGATCTTCTTGGGACGGGGGGTTTAGCTCAGTGGTGCCATGCCTGCCTCACAAGCACAGATCCTGAATTCTATCCCCTGTATCCCCCCACCAAAAAAGTGCTCACTCTGGCACTACATATGCTTTTTAAAAAAATCCCACATCTTCTTTATCCACTCACCAGTTGGTGGGCATTTGGGCTGTTTCCAAGATTTAGCTGTTACACACTGTGCTGCTATAAACACGGGTGTGCGTATATCTCTGTGGTATGGTGCTTTTAATTCTTTTGGAAAGATACCAAGAGGAATAGTGAGGTTGAATGGAACCTTTAGTTGTAGTGTTCTGAGGAATCTCCACAATGATCTCCACAGCGGTTGCACCAGTCTGCACTCCCACCAGCAGTGGAGAAGGCTTCCTTTTTCCCCACAGCCCTGTCAGCATTTGTTATTGGTTGACTTTTTGTTAACAACCATTCTTTTGGGAGTGAGGTGGAATCTAAACTTTTATTTTAAGACAGGGTCGTTCCAAGTCACCAGATTGCCCAGGCTGCGATCCTCCTGCCTCAGCCTCCCAGAGTGCTGGGATTATAGATGTGCCTGTCATCTCTTAGGGGTTTTATGGAGGTCTCACCACATGGAAATCATTGATTCAGTCATTGACTTACTGTCAGTCAGGATCACCTTACTGTCCAGTCCCTCTGTCCCCCCAAGGTGATAGGGGAGGTGGGGAAAGGACTGAAGAGGCCACCCCTCTAATCTTCCTGGTGACCAGCTCCCTCCCGAGATCTCCAGGACCCCCAGTTCATCTCAGTGACATGCAAAAGGAATCAGGGCTTTAGGAGCTGTGTGCCAGAAACCATTAGGGACAAAGGCCAGATATTTATTTTTTATTCTTTTAATTTTGAGGCTCTTGCTATGTATTCCAGGCTGGCCAGGAGTAGCTTGTATCACAGCTACTCAGGAGGCTGAGGCAGGAGGACTGCAAGTTCAAGACCAACCTGGGAAACTAAGGGAGATCCTGTCTCAAAATAAAAATTAAAAAGGACTAGGGGTGTAGTTCAGTGGTAGTACACAGGCTTAGCATGCTTAAGGCCCTGGGTTCCATCTTTGGGACAGAGAAAAAGAAAGAAAGAAACAGAGAAAAAAAAAGGAGGAAGCAAAGCATTCTGGTGCACACCTGTAATCCTAGAACTAGGGAGGCTGAGGAAGGAGAATCACCACGCATTCCAGGCCAGCCTGGACTACACAGTGAGACTCTGTCTCAAAAACCCATAATAAAAATGAATGAACAAAAGAAAACAACAAGGCCGGGCGTGGTGGCGCACGCCTGTCATCCCAGCACTCGGGAGGCTGAGGCAGGAGGATCGCTGGGAGTTCGAGACCAGCCTGGGCTACATAGTGAGTTCCAGGTCAGTCTCAACTAGATAGTGAGACCCTGTCTCAAAGAACAAAAACAAAAAAAAAACAAAACAACTAAAGAGACAAAACAAGCAGTACTAAGCACTAGCTCTATCTTTTTATTTATTTATATCTAGTACCGGGGATCGAACTCAGGACTTGGCACTAAAGCACTAGTTCTAAACTGGGGATCAGTAAGAAGGGAACTGGCAGGGAATGGCTAGTTCAAAGGCCCTGTGGCACCAGCCCTGGGGTTTAAAAAACCGAGCAAAACAAGGCCATGTGGTGGGATTCGGCAGAGTACAGGACAGGAGGGTGGGGCTCTGATTCGGAGCCTGGGGCTTCAGGGGCCATGGCCAGAGCTCTGGCATTTCCTCCCAGCTGGGGGGGGGGTTTGGAAGGCCAGAGGCAGGGGAAAGGGTGTGTGACTCAGGCGCTCCCGGTGCTGCTGGCTGCTGTGGGAGAGACCTTCTCACCAGGGTTATTTGGGGAGAAGCTGCCTTCCCTGAGTCCCTTCACCCCCAGCCCTTTCAAGGTTTTTATTTTGATTTTTTCCAGTTTTTTTGTTTGTTTCTTTGTTTTGAGACAGGGTCTCACTATGTGGTTGAGACTGACCTGGAACTCACTGTGTAGCCCAGGTTGGTCTCGAACTCCCAGCGATCCTCCTGCCTCAGCCTCCCGAGTGCTGGGATGACAGGCGTGCGCCACCACACCCAGCCTAAAGTTTTTATTTTGAGACAGTTACACTAGGCTGCCCAGGCTGCCTCAAACTCTTGGTCCTCCTGCCTCAGCCTCCTGAGGTGAGATTATACCTGTGCAGAGCCACGGTGGGGCCAGTACTGCTAGGGGCAGCCTCAGGCTTCCCCAGGGGCCTGCGGCAGACCTTCCACTGCCCTGTGTACAACAGCCTCCCCCACCTTCTTTAACCTACAGTGGTACGTTTTAGACATACACAATGATCACATTCATCTTAGGGATTTGTACCTGTACCTGATATATCTGGCTTCTTTTTCCTTTGCTATCCTCTCTCTTTTCCACCCCTTTCCCTGCTTATATAGAAAAGCTTTGTTTCCATTTCCCCTTTTTTTCTTGCCCGTCCTTTCCTTTCCCCTCCCCCCTTATTCCTCATCTCATTTTGAACATTTTATTCCCATTTCCCAGTATCTATCATCCATCTTAGTCCTGATTTCCCACTTTCGGTTTCTCACACCAGAGAAACAGTGCGGTATTTAGACACAGGCATCTGATTTATTTCACTTTAGAGTGTGGTCTCAAGGTGCGTCCCTTTAGCCAGAAATGTCTGCAGCTCACCCTTCTTTACGGCATAGTAGTACTCCCTTGCATAAGAAAAGCCACATCTTTATCCACTTGTTGGCTGCTGGGCATTTGGAACAGCTCCTCTCCTGGAAGCTGCCTTTCACTACAGGAAATGAAAGAACAAAGGCACTTCGGCATCGCTGCTTTTATTGTTTCTGTGGAGAAAATGCACGTTTGCAGAAGCACCTGACAGACAGTGTTCACGGCCCACCGAGGTCAGCGTAGTGTTTCAGAATCACTAGGGAGGAGCCGCTACGGAGCAGAAGCCACTCCGAGCCCGAGAATGCATAAGACAGGCTCAGGCACAGGGGGGCGCTCGCCCACAGCCTGGTGATTTCCATCTGTGAACTTAACCCTCCCTCCTCCTGTGAGCTACGAGGACCCCGCTTCCGCTCCCTAGTGACCATCATGAAGGAAGCCTCCCTCTCTAATCACACCATGGAAAACCTGCCTTATTTTGAGAAGAAATAAACAAATGTGATTTTTTCCTACATTCTTTCCAGTCTTGAGAGAACCTCAAAGCAGATCTCTCTGCTGCTACTTGAAGCTGAACTCTAAAAGACTTTTGTCTATTTTGAAACAGGGTCTCGCAGTGTAGTCCAGGCTGGCCTCGAACTAATTGGCGATCCTCCTGCCTCAGCCTCCCAAGTGCTGGGATGACAGACGTGCGCCACCAGGCCCAGTAATCGTTCAATTTCTGGGTGTGCAAAAAAAAAAAAAAAAATCTTCTCACTCTGAAGTTCTATGGGTGGCCCCTGGCGTGGGGTACACGGAGCTTCCTAGAAATAAGTGTGAACTTAAATGAGCCTTTACTACTCAGAAACCCCTGTGGGGGGGTGGTGAGTCAGGAAGGCTGCAGGAAGTCACTTTGGCAACAAGAACTTGGGGGGATGGATGGTGTCCCGGACTGGAGCCGGGGAGCTGGAGACAACAAGGCATCTCCCAAGGCTGCCCACACAATGCGGGTCCCATCACGGGGTTCTGCTTGGTGTGGAGCAGGTGCCAGGCCACCGGAAGTGGCCTTGGTTTTGCTCTGGGCAAGGGTCCCAGGACTCCCTGACACCCACCCAGCACAACCCCATCAACACGAGGACCCGCCGCTCCACCGCTGCACCCATAAGGGTGCAAGTGACAAAAGCAGGCTGCACAACCCGGCCCCCCTAGACTCCCTCAGAAGGGACCCTTCCACTAGCAGGAGTGTCACAACCCTGGACCCAAGGGTGCTACGGCTTCGGAAACAGACAGGGGGTCTTCGAGTCGAAGATACCCAAGTCCTGACGTCTGAGAGTCATCACGGGCAGCTCGAGCGTGCCAGTGTTTGCCTGGATTCTCAGCTATCTGGGAGGCTGAGGCAGGAGGATCCCAAGTTTGAGACCAACCTAAAAACTTAACGAGCCCTCATGTCAAAATGAAAAAGGAGCAGGGAATGGAGCTCAGAGGCAGAGGAGGGGCTTAGCCCAAATGAGGCGCTGGGTTTCATCCCCAGCACCACACAGAGGGAGGGAGGGAGAAGGAAGAAGAGTCGCAGGCAAGCACGGGCTGTGGGAATGTTGCTCAAGTTCCTTTTCTAGCAGGATATAAGATTTGGAAAGCTCTTGCTTAAAATACAACCAGACAGATGGAGCCCGGGCGGGAGGGTCTGGGCTCCGGCTCAGAGGTTAACACCGGGCCGATTCCCAGCCTCCCCAAAACGGCCCAAATTCCAGAATCCAATCCAGGACCAGCCCACGGAGCGATGGGGTCCAGCGTGACGTGGACGGCGTGAAGCACAGAAGGCACTTTTGGAGTCTCGCCACCAGGAGCAGCTGAACTTCCTGTCCCTTCTTTTTGAGACATCTTGCTATGTAGCCCAGGATGGCCTTGAACCCTCAGCAATCCTCCTGCCTCAGCCTCCTGAGTGATGGAATGACAGGCGTGCGCCCCCACGTCCAGGTCCCTATCCTTTCTATAACAGGAAAATGAGCTTTAGTATTCAATCTGCCAGCCAGAGGGAGGGGTCTGTGGGGCCCTGAATTGTGATCTCAACTTAAAGCCTTGGCATTTAGGGGTTTCATATGGAAGGCTCAAGGCTAAGCTGGGGGACCTGAGAAAGAGGGGCTGCCTCCGCCTCTTCTGGGAGAAGTATCATGACACTTTTGGAGGACTCCTACACACCAGGCAATGCCCAGCGCTGAATGCCCCCAGAAAATGGTTCTGTTGTAGAAGGCACTACGGAGACCTCTTCCTCAGGCACGCTGGGACACGCCTCCGACGGTCACCCCACTGAAAGGCCTCAGAAAGCTGCAAGCGTGTGCGTGACAATGTCCCCAGGCTGCTGCGCGCAATGCTGAGCCGAGCCCCTGGGGTTGAGCGTGGAGGTGACACGGGGAGGAAGTGAGCCATGCCGGGCTGGGGAGTAGCACACAGGAGAGAAGGGGCCCTGAGCTTGGGAACAGCCCTTGTGGCTCATGCCTGGGTCACACAGTCCCTGAGGTGGCAGATGAGGCAAGCGGGGGCCAAGGGTCCCCCTAGCAGCCACAGCTGCTGGGCTGGGGTGGCACAGGGTCCCCCAGGGCCGGGCCTTTCCCGTTGCTGCCTGGGCTGGAGTTGGCTTCCAAGGTTTCATTCATCCTGTCGCAGATGACGTCCACCAGGCGCTCAAACACCTGCTTCACATTGATGTTCTCCTTGGCACTGGCCTCAAAGAACTCGAACCCTGGAGAGAGACAAGGCAGGGACACCCATGAGACTCCCGGGCTAGGGCCCGGGCTGTGGCATCCCTCACACCTGCGTCTCCCAGACTGGCCCTTTCTATTGCTGTGCAACCTCGGCTGAGTGTCTTAGCCTCTCTGAACTTCAGCCAGCTCATCTGTAACATGAGAACAGTGATGCTGCTGTGACTGATGCTGATAAAGATCTGCAGCGGCAGCCCTGGTCTGGAGAATCTCAAGAGTCCCTGTCACCAAGCAGTGGCTATAAGTGTCCGAGCAGCAGTTTGTAGCCAGGTGTGGCGGCACCAGCCTGTAGATCCAGCTACTCAGGAGGCTGAGGCAGGAGAATTGCTGGGGCCTACATGTTCAAGTCCTGCCCGGGCAACATAGTAAGACCCCATCTCAAAAAAGAAAAAGAAAAAGAAAAAAGAAAAGAAAGGAAAGGAAAGAAAATGGAAAGGGAAAGAGGGTGTTTGTAAAAGTTAGCTCAAAGATCAGCAAATTTTCTCTGTAAACAGCCAAATCATGAAGATTTTAGGCTCTGTGGTCCATTCAGTCTCTGTTTTAACTCTACGGCCCTGCTAGTGCAGCATAGATGTTGCCACAAACATTACAGAAATGGGTTCATATGTGGCTGTGTCCCAGGCAAACTTCACTTACAAACATAGAAATTTGGGAGGCTGAGGCAGGAGGATGGCTAAGTTCCGGGTCAACCTGAACAACAGAGTGAGACACCGTCTCAAATACCCGCCCCCAAAATCAATCGTCTAAAATGCAGAAGGTAGCACACCCGTGGATATATCTCTGGACAGATCCTCAAAGGGTTGATAACAGTGGCCGGACCTGGAACTTGACAGTAGGAATGAGATCTGACTACGGGGGACCCAGGTCTTGCAGCCCAGGTTGCGCACTAACCAAGGTCATCGGCGAGTCTCCGGCCGTCCTCAGTAGGCACGACCCGCTCGTCCTCCAGGTCACACTTGTTTCCCACCAGGATGACCTGGGCGTTATCCCAGGAGTAGGTCTTGATCTGTGTGGCCCTGTGGAGTTAAAGGTCATGAGCGAGGCGGGGGTGGATGGGATGGGGGGGAGGGCAGATGTCAGGGGTCAGGGGTCAGGAAGACTCACCAGTCCTGCACAGCGGCAAAGGACTCCTGGTTGGCGATGTCATACATGAGCAGGAAGCCCATGGCTCCGCGGTAG